TGTTTTAGAGACTCTGATAAGGAGTTGTCTTTAGAAATACAGAATCGTTGCAAGCTTTGCCATAACATCTGCTGGAAGATTAGGCTGTGTGGAAAAATAGGCTGTGAACCATGGAGATTTGAGAACGCAGAAGCCGAAGGAATTGAGGATGTGGGCTGGATTACCAGACTCTTTTGTTTGCATAAATTTTATATAATAACAACTCCTGGAAGACCAGAATTTGATGGAAATAGGAAAACAGAGTTAAATGTTTTTTATACTATCATTTTTCTGGACCTGCTGTTTTAAGGGGAAATTTACATTACATTTATTTGCATGCAATATTTTATTTTAAAACCAAATGTCTATTGTAGCTGATGTAAAATCTGGTTTTCAGATGCTCTTACCCAGAAAGAAGTTGTAAAAAGAAATTAAAAGATGTGCTATCGAGATAAGTGTGTTAAACTGCAGTCCTTCCAGTCCAGAATTGATCTGGCTGCATGCCATTAATAACTATCATTTTAAAAAAAGTATAAAGTCAATTGAATGTTATTGCAATACAAGAGTTATATCATGATTCTATCACTTAGCTCAGTGTTTTCTTGGCAAGAAGACAGAATTAGCTTACCTTCTTTCAAGATATATATTTAGTTGCTCAGTTCTGTATAATCTATCTGGTGAGTTCCTATCTATGCACTAACTAGGGCTCCATTACTAGGTTGGCCAGGTTGAATAGATGATGCTATTACTGTGATAAAACCAATGCAAGTCCATTATAAATAGCTATTCCAATTCTATTTCCAAAATAAGCAGAACTACTCTTAGGCCACTGTTCAAAGTACATTAATCACCTAAACACAAGGTGAAATTAATGAAACATATGCATAGGATTTTTCTTCTTTTGATTTCAATGGGACTTATGCTTCCAAGTTCCTTGGCTTAATGGAGAAAGTAAATGCACACACACGTTTAATGAGGCACCAGACATATTTAACAAATTATAATGCATTTGGAGACATGATTTGTTTTTGTTGCTATCTCTCCCTTTTTTCTGAGTTCATTAAATTTTAAAAAAATGAATAGAACAAGAGTCAGATCACAATGTTAAATATGCTTATTTTCCTTCAAGTCGTACTGAATTTAGTGAGATTTATTTCCAGACAAAATTCCATGTTTAGAATTGAATCGCATGTATCCAGTATCAATTTTCTCAACAATTTGAAATTCGAATTAAATGTTGGCCAGAGCACGAACAGTTAATTTTCCGATAAAGCGACAATATCTGCATTTTTTAAAAAACGCAGTGCATATAATACATATAGGAACCAAATATCTGACAAATACTTTGTGTTTAAAGATTGAAGATTGCAGGGCTGTTTTTGTGCATGTGTCCTCAAGACTCTTAGTAACTGCAGGGATTAATCGTAAATCCCATTCATTTTGTTGTTCATCAAGCATCCTTTGGGAGAGATGATAGGGAAGGAAATTGGTAATGTCAGGTGTTTTTATTTTGGCAGGATTCATTGTCTTCGTGCTCATCGACCTAAACCATCAACATACCATGGAGAGAACTGGCACAATTCTTTTGGCTGCAAACACTGGTGTGAAAATGAGCAAGCAACAGTCCGCATACTCTATACATTGATCGTCATGGTTATTCTCATTGCAGTCTGGGGAGTTTGGGCGAGGAAAGATTACTGAACTTATTTAATCTTTTTTTTCCTTTTTTCTCTTGAGACTCAAAAACTCAAGACCCTGTTGAAGACAATTACAAATATAGCATTTTTAAGCAGTGATTTTTTTTCAATTCAGAAATGAAATTACTAATGGGTTTGTACTACTTTCTCAACTTTCTTAAATGTAAGAAAAAACAATGTAAAAGATTATTTTGATATAAATAATAGTAATGTATATAACACTCTGAAATTAACTATTAAATAGCCATATTCAAAACAGTTTTGTCAGTAAGTTGCTGATCTGGAGATATCTTTCAACATCAGCCTTGAATTTCAGGCACCAAAATATGGAGATGATCATTCAGAAAGAACTGAGGTAGTAAGTTGATTATGCAGGCGGTAGAACCGATTCAATATTCAGTAAATTGCATCCTGTACATAATTCATTGATATAAGTCTCATAATCTGGGATTTAATTCTGAATTAACTAGACTATGCCCTCTACTAAGACTAAATTCAGTTCTTCAAAAAATTGATAGATAACAATACTATGATCTTCCTCCCTACTATATGTTAATAAAAAACTGGATAACTGGAATCGGAATCCCTGTATAGCAGTTTATATTATTTAACTTATAGCTAAGTGTGTAGCAGTTTTTCTACCTCAGAAGACTGAGGTCCAGTGATGCTGAACTTTAACTCATGCAATTATTGGCTATCATGGCTAATGGCCATCCTGATGAAAGAAAAGGACTGTAGCCCACATTATCTGGAGGGCATTGAGAAGCAGAAAGATACTGTAGTGACATTTGTGCGGTTCTTCAACTAGCATGGAAAGGAAAGGACTCCAGGAGTCCTACCATTTACCTAACCATTGGCATTTAGAAAATTCTCCTCATTTCCCTTTTATCTGCAGTGTGAATGTAACACTTGCCCAAGATATTGACGAAATTAATTAGCATTAGAAAATCTGTCTGAGTTCCTGTGGTAAAGGTTATGTTTAAATATGTGATTATTGAGGTATTGATTCTTTGCTAGAGGATCACCATTTATTGCCCAAGATTTATTCACAGAGGTTGAGAACACACGACACCAGACTTCCTAAATTTCATGACCTACTGAAAGTTATTATGAATCTCATTATCCAGTTAATATGGTCAATATGCATGCTGACTAAGGATCATGAGAATTGTAGTACAGGTTATCTAGAACATGACAACTTAGGGGTGGTTGTTAGACACCCATCAATACCAGGAAGAAAAGTTAACATTCAGTTTCCCTAAAACCATAGAACTGTAGAGTTGGAAGGGTCCACAATGATCATGTAGCCCAGTGTTTCTGAGTTTGTCATTTTTAAGATATGTGGATTTTAACTCCTAGAATTCCATATCTCTTAAAGTTGCCAAGTTGTAAAACAGTGATATGGTCTAGCCCTCTGCAATAATGCAGAAAAAAGTCCAGCCTTTCATAAGCTTCCAAAAATAGAGAACCCACAATCTCTGCAGGCAGACTGTTTCATATTGTACAAATTTTACTGTCAGAAAGTTGTTCCTTATTTATAAATGAAGTTTTGTTATCAGCAACCTGCACTGCATTTTTCTTACATTTTTTTATGCCCTGGAAAAAGAGATTCCAATCATCGTACCTATGACCCTAGGAATTGTTCTTATTTTCTGGCAAGAAATAATGGAAAGCTGTGTCCAGTACATCTGGGAACATTGGATTGGGCAAGCTTGATTTAAACTATGTTTAGGTTGTTTAACAAGCCAATAATGGTGGGCTTTACCAACCACAAGCTTTCCTTTACACTAGAAAGCATTGCCTAAAATTTCAAATTGTGCAGTCCCCCAAAGCTTAGAATAAGATCTGAGAACTCCAAAAGTTGTCATGAAATTGTAGCTGATGGAAAAAATGGTTCTGCAGAGATTAATTAAATTAATTAGAAGTACTTAATTTAAATCTAAATAAAATCAAGCTTAATTTGTAACTTAGTTTGTGGCCAACAAAATAGTTTATACTTATAACCTTCAAGATTGTATGAATTGGAGATTAGGTGAGTTCCTGTTCATTATTTAATTTTTCACATTTTTGAACCACCCATTTCCCTCAGAGAGGCTCTCTAATTAACTTGGCCTCTACCAAGGTATGCAGAGCCCAAAGAGGTACCAGATGGGTGCTATCCATTTTGTAGATGCTTCAAAAACTCATTTCACCTCCTAAAACATCTAAAATTATGGAAATTCTTACTTATTTTAACTCAGATGCTAGACTGCTGTTTGCTACTGCTATAAACAGTATAAAGTGTGGTGGTTTAGAAGCAAATCGAATTATGAAGGGATTTTTTGCGCGCTTGATTTTTAATGCAGGGATTCCCTGAGACCTGAACATTATTTATTTCAAGGATTCTCCTAATATAAAAAAGCAAAGAAAAGCTGCCTTAACTACTACTTCATAATAGAAGCTGAAGATTTCTACCTCTTAGGATTTTTTTTACAACACACAACCTGGACTATCACTCTGAGGTTTTAAAAGTTTTTTTAAAATCCAGGCTCAGTTCATCTCTCCATGTATTCCACCATTAGGAGTAAAATTGACAAAGCATTCCCACAGAGAACAACAAAGTTACAGCACATCAGTTTATGTTAACTGCACGTAAGCCATTTTTAATTTATGTTCAAGAAAGGATATGATTTAAATCTACCTGCTCTCCACCAGTTAGTTACCAAAAATAGAAGCTTCATTTCAGCCAGCAAGACAAATGATATATTCCATATGCCATTTGTTTTGTCAGGCAATGAAAACAAATCTTCAATTTTCCATGATAAAATATGCTACCAAGGCTGAGCTGTGTTCAAAGCTTTGTATCCTTTTCTCATTCTTTTCTAGTTATTCTTTTCTTCCTCAACAAGCTTTTTAAAAGATAATCTGTCTAAAAAAACCTAGTAAAACCAATCAAACATGCATTCCATGTTGCCTAATCCTTCATAAGAAAATATTGCAAATATAATCTTAACAGTCAGTAGTAAGATACTGTCTTAACAGACAGTAGTAAGACACAAGTTCAAATCCACTTATTGGAAAACTGGGTATTACACAATTTTATTTTGTGCTAATCTTTTTTGCTGTTATTTTTCAACAAGTGGCTTAGGTTTCAGATTTCACGGCTGATATCTTTATTTCTTCTACAAACAATATAGTACATAATGCATAATTATGGTAATATATGATATTCTAAATTTTACATGTCCAGCTGGACAATGTGTAAGTGGGTCAGGGGTTAGTGGACTGAAAGGGTTTTAACTTGATATGTGAATTATGAGCTTCTCAACTTTTTGATAACCCCTAAAGCAGCATCTGGAGATCTGCTTTTGCTACAACTTGATGAATACATCAAAGGCATCTAGCTCACCAGTAAAAACGTCAGCTGGCCAAATCTACAACAATATATGTTATAAATCTCTGAGGGAGATGAACAGTTAAGAAATATGAAATATAAATAGATAAACATCAAAGTCTCAGATTGGCTCTGGTGATGTTACTCTGAAGAAGTGTATTTATCCAATTTAAATGTCTTTAATTTGTTTTGGGAGCGAATTTGACATAACCCCAAGGAAGCGGTAGGACAGAACATTTTCTACTGAAGGGTAATCACATACATAGATCTATAAAATAAAAAAAAGCTGCAAGATCTCGAACAAGGTGCTCCATGTTCAAAGATTAAAGCTGTCAGGCTTTCCCAAACTAGCATTAGCACAATAAATGTATTGATCCTACAACCTCTAGAATTTCCAGCCAACATGACCATTGCAGTTGCATTTCAAAGACAGAGAAAAACAAATTGAGAAAAACTAGATTAAGACAATTCAGATCCAAGATTAAGGAAGAAATTTTCCGAATATGATTTTAGGCCTATTCCTTTGGAGCATTGTAGATATTAATCTGGTGTAGCCTGCATTTTCTAGCTTACTAATAATAAGAAAACAGCTGTGGGTAATCTTCCGAAAGTTTGGGAAGAAGTACGCTCCCATGACCACCCAAAGAAAAATAACAAGTCATCAATTTTCTAGAAAAAAAAGGCATTTTTAATTCAAAGATGCAGCAAAAACAACATTCGTAAGAGGCTTCCCCAAAGGGAAAAAGATAACGGAATGAGTTATGATCTAGTAACATGGTCATGCTATACAGGTTATATTTGGTTGAAACAGGAAAGTGGAACAGCTGCAATAAGACTGTAGTCAAAATAAAATTAGGGTTACAGCAAAGTGGAATTTATCTGTGTTGGGTCCATCTGATCAAAGAAGAGATGATAACCTCAAGATACAACGTTTGGCCAAGGGCAGGAGAATTCGAACAATAGAGTGAGATGGAAGAAACTTAACAGTACCTATGAAAACAAATGACTAGGTACATCCCATGGTTATAAATATGGCTATTGGAAATGTTACAAAGAAGTAGAATTGTCCTCCTAGAGAACTCAGATTAACTTTCAATTTTACCACATGTAAACAGTCTCTCTTTGGAGCAAGAGAGTATGAATTCTATGAGACTTTCATTCGGGTGAAATGAGATGAAAGCAGGGAATCAGTACAGAATTATCTGAAGTTCCCATTTTTTTCATTGCCAAAGAATTCTGTTGATAATTTGTTGCAATTTTATTCATTGGTCTGTATTTCCCAGAAAAAAAATTGAGACTTTGAGTCAAAGAATTTCCTGCTTTGGTATGCAAAGCAGGAAATGGCCTCAGAATTCTGCAGTTTTACATTTTAATATTTACATCTGACAATCATTAGTTACTGGCAGAAAAGCACTTTAAAAAGCTGCATTATTCTGCTTCATATAATAACATTGTGCTTCAAATCAATTCAGAAATTCCAAAATCCATTTAATGATGGCATAACAAGGAAAAAAATAAAAACATTTCTTTCAGTTAGCAAACTGCTGTTGTTCTAATGCAGTCATATGTCTTTTGTTGCCATTCTGCAAACAATGCCATCTAACAGGGTGCCTATTTTTTCTTCTTGTGGAGTCAGCTTGTATACCTGCAAAAATAATAGAATGGTCACTTTCTCAAGAGACAGCATGATTCTACAAAGTATTTGCTTTTGTTTGTTTAAAAGGGTTGGAAGGGGTTCATCCGCTCAATGCCTGGAGACATTTTTACAGATTGTTTTACACTTCAGAGTTGCCCTGAAAGGGGTACCGAGGCACAGAATAAAAGAAAATATCTCAAGAAACCTCTTCTGAAAATGTAGGAGGACAGAAAGAAGCCAGAAACTCAGTTCAGTGTACTAATGTGATCTTCCTCTGAATTTCGGTAGCACAGGAGACATGACACTTAACAGCTTACAAGTTGCTTACACCTAGTTTATAGGTTGTGTTATGACATTTACATTTTTTATTAGTTACATCAGTCTTCCTCGTTCTGCTAACTTTCCAAATATGGAGCTGGAAGTTAGGAAAAGGTTTAACTACATTGACTTTTAGATTTCCAGGAAAGTGAAACCAATCCAGATTTTTTTAGAGGTGGGGGAAGGTAAGATATGCATGTGAAAGATTAAGCAAACACCTTTTTATATGTTTGCAATCTTATACATCCATATCTGAGAGAAAATTACCCTAGGCTTATGATAATACCCAAGTGAACACCTGTTACACTGCATTGAAACTTCAATGTTTTAATTTATTAAAATGCTCTTTTACTGTATCTTCTTACTCAGAGAAACTGAAACAAACCTTCTTAATTTTTTGTACATCACTTATTTTGGAGAGATCAGCTATGGAAATTTGCTGGCCGTCTACTTGACTTATTACATCGTTCAGGTTCACAGTTTTCTCTTCATGTTCAATCAAAACTATAAGTACTGCAGAGTCACCATCGGAAATGCCAAATTTCTTGAAGGCATCTGTAATCTAACATTAAAGGAGAATATAATCTTGTATTAATCACAGTCATTAGTACCTGACAATCTAAAATGTTATTCCAAAAATAACCTTCCCTTTTAGAAGATCCAATGAGCTACATATTATTTTCACTTAAGCAAAAATAAGGTATTTAATATTTCCTTCTTTCAGCTCAATACTTTCAGACAATATTGAAATATTGTAAAATTGATTTAGAGCAGGGCTGCCAAACTTGCGGTCCGCTGGCCTGATGAGTCACATGTTGGCGATGCCCACGCCCGGTTTAGCGAAGGGGGGAAAAAGTCATGAAACGTCATGTGATGCCGCCACGACGACGCAAGTTTGACACCCCGATTTACAGCACAGTACAAATTAAGAAGAACTAACATTTGGGGGGTATGTTTTAGCAACAGCAAGAACACTTAGATTTATATACCGCTTCATAGTGCTTTACAGCACTCTCTAAGCAGTTTACAGGGTCAGCATATTGCCCCCAATAATCTGGTCCTCATTTTACCGACCTCAGAAGGATGGAAGGCTTGAGTTGATCAGGACTGAACTCCTGGCAATGGGCAGAGTCAGCCTGTAATACTGCATTCTAACTACTGCACCACCAGGGCTCTTCTGCTTAGATTATGCTTTGGTTTCCAGTAAAATGGGGAGCTGCAGTTGGAGGCTAGCAAAAATAAAACAAAACAAATCCCAATAGTAGGTGAAGCTTCTTGTATTATGATTATACTACTTTTTTCTCATCCTTTCTCACTATAATTCAACATTTCCTTGTCTTTTTCTCCTGACAGTATACCAACCCAAAAAGTGGAAGAGAAATGATACCCCAAAGAATACAGGAAAATGTCTAGAGAGTGTGAAGCTGCATGAAACAAAAGAGGGCCTGCAACATCTCAGCCCCAGTTATAACTATCTCACATTATTGTTTGGTGAAAGGTTGAATATGATTTCAGCATTCAGTGTTCTGGTCTTCATTTTGCCACTTTTGTAGAGATGAACAGCTTTATTTGCGGCTACTAGTATCTGAAAAGGATCAACAACCTGCCAGAGAAAATATAATGAAGTTTTCAACTGCTGTATCAGTTCCAGAACAACAACTTGCATTTTTTAGTCTAAATGATACTTTAGGAAACCATTCCCTATCTTATAGATAGGGAATGGAATAGCACATTTAGGTTAACTCCATATTTATATTAAAATTTAAACTATGCATTACATTTATACTTATGGAAAGACAGACACCTACCAGTCCTCTTAATATTTATAATTTAGCTTTCAGGAAAAAAATGTTATTCTGTTTAAAAGAACTTCAGCAAAACACTTTTCACAGAAATAGGGTCAAGAAGGAAAAGAAACCATGTTCCAGAAGTTTGAGCAGGCAATTTAAAAATTCAGGTGAAAATTATTTATCTCCTTAGAAGTTTCTACTCACTGGATTTTTTTTTTTTTTACAACAGTATGCGACCTAGTGAATTCTAAAAGTTACTGAATATGTAAAATGGAGACAAGTTGCTTACCATTGAAGGATTAATTAATGCTCCATCAATAGCTCCTTCCATTGCTTTCCTCCGCAGAGTAGCAGCATTTTTCACACCATTAAATAGGATAAGAGTCACAAGGCAGTCAGGAAATAATTCTAACCGCTGTGTTAAACATTCCATCTTTTACCAGAACAGTAAGCTCCTTCTGAATTAATCAAACCTGGAACATTTATAAACATTTAAAAGTTACATTTGAAAACTGTTTATATTATAATCTTCTATATTTGGAAAACAGAGACGTTATGAAGTTTAAAGATGAATTCTGTGAGATAACTAGAAGGGATCAGGTCTATCTTGGATTGCTATGAAGTGCGTCTAGTAGTCTATCCAATGTTAACATCTGGAAAATTAGATTAAGTGGGTTTATGTTCCAGAATTGATTAGGTTTCATGAAACGTGATCCTACACTAATGACCTGCTCTCCAACAAATCTTGGCTTTCACATTGGAACAGCTTCCAGAATATTTTTTCTACAGAAAAGATAAGTGCTATTCTCCTGAATTTTTTTTCCAGCCTATTTGTCACCAAGTAAGAAAATTGTGCCAATATGAGTATTATCATTTTTCAAAAATGTGAACTTATAGTTAATTAATCTTCACAACTGCCTGAATATCCAGAGTTCATTTGTAGTCACCATGTAAAAATTCTTTGCTTCTATGCACATATAGGATACCTCTAGGTTCCTGTTAGCACTTTTTTTCAAGGCCTTTCTTCAAGGCCTTTCAAACAAAATGACAATAGAGCACACTCAACATTGTACTGTAATTAATTATAAGATGCACCTTTATAAAAATAGCTTTTCAAGCCCTTCATTCTGACTTACCCAAAGTGTGTTCTCACAGCAAGCAAAGTAAATCTGTTTTTAATGTGCTCTTTACATTTTCATTTGACAAAAAGTTGATTTAATCATAATATTTGGTACCGATCCGGCTAATTTTTGGTTAACTGACATTTTTTTTCAGGAGAACATTTACTGTATATATTTCTATATCTATCCCATGATTTCTTAATAATGCATTGTCCAATCTAAATTTAAGAAATCTTCCTTCAAGATTACTCCTAAAATATTTAGTTTAAAGATTGTTTTTTTGATGATGCTTGCTAAAAGGGAAGGAGGGAAGGAGAGAAGGAAAGAGAAGGAAGGAAGGAAGGAAGGAAGGAAGGAAGTTCTAAATTAATGAGGGTTAGGGTAGATCATTAGATTGATAATTTTTTCAAAAATAAGTCAGTAGAAAAGAAAAAAAATTAACACAGAGGAAAATCACATTAACCCTCTCTAAGATACATTTTATTAATAATAATTTTAATAACAATAGATAAAATAATAGAAAATGAAAAGTATGGTATTCAAACAGACAAGCACTTGCCACATAACATCCCAGACTCAGCAAAAGAGCAGAAGAGAAGAGAAAGAACTGGAGATGGTAACAAAATACAAAGACCTGTAAATAGTAGAACAACTGGGGCAAAATAAAGCAAAGATAATATCAATAGTAATAGGTGCCTGGGGTGGAATCCCAAAACAACTGGAGCACCACTTGAACACCCACCAACTTTGACAAAATAATCATCACCTTTACGTGGAATAGTAAATATTTTTCTACCATACTTTTATCGCCATCAAACAATAATATGTGCTTATCCCAGGACCTTGGGGAGAAATTAATAGATGGATAAAAATGCCAAATCCAGTGTAAAGATCTGGCTGACTGTGCAACCAACCATAATATAGTACAGATAGTTCTCGACTTACGACCACAATTGAGTCCAAAATTTATGATGCTAAGTGGGACATTTAAGTGAGTTTTGCTCCATTTTACGACCTTTCTAGCCATGGTTAAGTGAATCATTGCCGTTATTAAGTTAGTAATACGGTTGTTAAGTGAATCTGGATTCCCCATTGACTTTGCTTGTCAGAAGGCTGCAAAAGGGGATCTTGTGACCCCAGGACTCTGCAACCATTGGGGAGGCTCCCACAGCCATGAGCAAAAATGGCACTTTTTTCAGTGCCGTTGTAACTTTGGTCACTAAACAAATTGCTGTTAAGTCAAGGACTATCTATATAAGCAATATAGTATAGTTAGAATTATGTATTATTTGTACCCTGTTTCTCCAACAATACGGCCTCCCCCAATAGGAAGCCCCAGCATGTTTTATAGGCATGAAATGAAATTAAGCCCCTCCCCCCAAATTAAGGCCTATATTAAAACATGCAAAATGGGGGGGGGGAATGGTGGGGGGGCTTGCCGTTAGGAAGTACTTTTGTGGCACACCCGGATATGTTGCTGCCTGCGTTGACCCCGATACTAAGTGCCTCACCAACGCCGAGGTCAACATCCAAGCTGTCACCGCCCACCCACCCAAAGATGCAAGGGGAGGGAATTAAGTCACCCCCGAAAAGACGGCCTATCCATTTTGGGGGGGGGGGGGGGCCAAAAAAAAAAAAAAAAAGACCCGGCCTTATTATATGAGAAACACGGTACTATTGTATAAATCAAATATCACATTATTAATAATACAATAAGTAATTGTATTATGTAAGACTATTAAATTATCATCTTAAATATAATGTAACAATTATATAATATATAATTTAATTATATATTTATATTATACAATCATTAAATTATATTTAAGACTATAATTGAATTAGTATTCATTATTTATAATTCTACAATACATTAATTAATACAACTATTGATTAATACATATTATTTTTAATTTATAATAGAACCAGCTTGGCCTATTGGTTATTAATTCATAATGATGTAAATAGGATGATAAAACAGGAACTCATCAAATTTGCAAATGACATCAATTTGGGGAGAATTGCTAACACTTTGGAAGATACACTCAAGGTTGAGAAAGATCTTGGCAAACTTGAGCATTGGGCCCTATCCAACCAAATGCAGTTCAGTGGTGAGAAAAACAGGAATCTGTATTTAGGCAGGGAAAAAGAATACAAATGTACAGGTGTAGAACAGTTTGTCTTCAGGAGTTGTGGGTGCTCCATTGCTGGAGGTTTTCAAGAATAGTCTGGACAACAATTTGTTCAGAATGGTATGTCTCCTGCCTTGAACTAGAAAACTAGAAAAATCTTCTGGTTCATCCAGCTCTATAATTCTGTTTAAAGGGCTGCCCTAGGAATCAGGAGATTTTGAATTCCATTTCTATCTTAGGCATAAAAAGCCAGTTGGGCCAGTCATTCTCTCTCAGCCCCGCTTATTTCATAGGGTTATTGTTGTGGGAAAATTAGGAGGTAGACACAGTATAATTTAGGTTCTCCACCTTGAGTTGATGGGATAAAAATCAAATAAAAGAGTGTAGAGAAGAGCAACAGAGACGATTAGGGGATTGGAAGCTAAAGAACGGTTGCTGGATTTGGGTATGTCCAGTTTAATGAAAAGGAGTAGTGGCTGAGACATGACTGAAGTCTTCTGATATCAAAGAAGAGGGAGTCAAGCTATTCTCCAAAGCATCTGAGGGCAGGACAAGAAACAATGGATGGAAACTAACCAAGAGGAGAAGCAACCTTAGAACTAAGGAGAAATTTCCTGACAGGACAATTAATCAGTGGAACAACTTGACTCCAGAAGTTGTGAATGCTCCAACACTGGAAATTTTTAAGAAGAGATTGGACAAGCATTTGTCTGAAACGATATAGGGTTTCCTGCCTGAGCAGGGGGCTGGACTAGAAGATCTCTGAGATCCCTTCCAACTCTGTTGTTCTATTCTGTTCTGTTCTGTTCTATTCTATTCCTACTCTACTCTCTATTCTATTCCATTCTAAATAAATGAGATAAATTATATAAATGCTGTAATTTTAATTATTTATTAAGTTATTCTTATTTGAACACTCCTTCTAAGGTAATCTACATCAGCAGGAACAACATTGCACTCAATGTTAGGGGGCGTGCATAAGCGCACCAACGTGCTTACCGTCCCTGTCCTATTGTTTCTTTTCTTTTTTTATTTTTCTTATATGTATCCATGCAAAATTCTAGACCTAGAAAACCTTGAATTACGCCGTCTTCGGTCTGATCTAAGTATGGTATATAAAATCACACATTGCCATGACTTACCTGTCAATGAATACTTCAGCTTCAACCATAACAACACAAGAGCACACAATAGATACAAAGTCAAGGTTAACCGCACCAAACTTGATTTCAGGAAATACGACTTCAGCAACAGAGTGGCCAATGCCTGGAATACTCTACCTGACTCTGTGGTTTCTTCCCCAAACCCCAAAAACTTTAACCTTAGACTGTCTACTATTGACCTCACCCCTTTCCTAAGAGGTCTATAGGGGGAGTGCATAAGTGCACCAACGTCCCTACCTATTGTTTCTTTTTTATTTTTCTTATATGTACCCATTTCATGTATTCACAACTATGTATATACCTATTATCTTGTAAGCGATTGACAAATCAAAATAAGTAAAATAAATGTATTCTTAACTATGTTTTTACTTATACCTATTATCTTGTAAGCAATTGACAAACAAACAAATAAATAAATAAAATAAACCCACCTTTCCCTAACCCGTTTGTTCTTTTTGTTTAAAAAAGGCGACTGTATATATGGCATTGGATCTTTTTTTTAAATGGCATTTTTATACCGTATTTTTTTCTACGGTGCTCTCCAGGCAACATGACAACCCCCCAGCTCTCACAGTTCCCGAACACCTTCAGCACCAACAAGAACCCTGCAGAAAAAGCTCGCTCCTAAGAATGGGAAGAGGATAATTTTGCACCGGGGCTGCAAAGTAAACCCCACCCCGCCGCCCCTCGCCCTTTTTCTCTCTCCCGGGGAAGGAGGCCGCAGCCGGGCGAGGCCCACAAACCTGCACGCGGGTCAAGAACAGCGGCCCGCCGAGGCTCCTCCTTCCCTCCAGTCGACCGGTTTCCCGCCGGGAAGGCCTCTCCGGCATAGAGGCCTCCCTTCGTTCCCCGTCGCCGGTCTCCGGAAACGCCGCCCGTGCGCTCTCCCCTCCCGGAGCCCCGCGGGTGCCTGGGCCGAGCCGGTCGGGAGCCGTGCCATGGAGCGCTCCGAGGCTTCCTGCTTCTCGGCGGCCTTCAGCTGCGCCTTCCTCGCCTCCTGCCTGCTCTTCTCGGCGTTCAACCGGCAGCAGCGGGAGGCCTACATGGACGAGGCCTTCCACGTCCCTCAGGCGCAAGCTTATTGCGCGGGTCGCTTCCAACAGGTAGGCGGGCGAGCTAATCCCCAGGCCCGGCGCCGCTTTCGAAGTACGGAGTTTTGCAGGCTCCAAAAGCAGCCGAAGGTGGCTCGCTCCTTGGGGTTTGCTTTTCTTTCTTGATATCCCGCAAAAATAGACCCTCCCTCCCCTTTTCCCACTGTCATTTCTCCATCTTTGCTTACCAGAAGCACCGCACAGGACCAGCCTCTGTCTTCCCTTCGGGTTCTTTTGGACTACGACTCCCATCCTCCCTCACCATGGCCTTTGCAGGAAGCGGTTGATGGAAGTTGACGTCCTTCAAATCTTTTTAAAAAAAATATTTAAGTTTTTTATTTTTAAATGTCTAAGTATTAAATACATGAACCGTGTGGTTTCTGGGTTATTATTATTATTATTATTATTATTATTATTATTATTATTATTATTAGACAATTTTGATCACCTTGCATTAATCAGACTCACATCTTTCTAGTAACATTATACATAATACAGTTCTTCAAATCTGAAGGGCACTATATACAATTTCCTCCCTTTTTTCCTAATAGACCAGGGTTCCCCAACATGGTCAATATCCATCCGTCCATCTACTATTGTTATTATTATGTTTAGTACTATTAAAAGTAATATTTTATTAAATTATGTTAATAAAATGAACAGAATTTGGGGAAATACAAGGAGCTGAGATATCTTCTTGTTTTGTTCTGCCTACATAGAAATTGTCCATTTGTAATTTTTTAAAAAAAAAATTCTTTTCTTTCCGACAGTGGGATCCGATGATCACCACATTGCCTGGTTTGTACTTGCTGTCAGTTGGAATCCTGAAGCCCGCAGGCTGGCTCTTTGGCTGGTCTGAAAACATCCTCTGCTCTACAGGAATCCTCCGATTCATTAACCTGCTTTTCAGCATTGGAAACTTCTATTTATTATACTTGCTCTTCTGCAGGATACACCATAAAAAGGTACATGCTGTATATTGCATTTAAAATAGTTTCGCTCTACACGATAGTTTTTAAAATATTTAAAGCACTTTCACTCTACATAAAGCAATATTTGACAAAATTCTGAAGTCTTCTTGGATGGAACTTTTCTGCACCCATTCCAAATTGTTAGACCTTCCTGTCCTCTACCATCTTCTGGAGTCCATTTAAGCTCATGCCTACTATTTCAGTGATTCCATCCAGCCACCTCATTCTCTGTCGTCCTCTTCTTTTGCCCTCAACCATTTCCAGCGTTAGGCTCTTCTTCAGTGAGCCCCTCCTTCTCATTATGTGGCCAAAGTATTTGAGTTTCACCTTCAGGATCTGGCCTTCTATAGAGCAGTCAGGGTTGATCTCCTCTAGGACTGACTGGTTTGACATTCCAAATACATGTTCTTAAAATTTGTTAAGTGAGTTTTGCTCCACTTCACGATTTTTCTTGCCGTGCTTATTAAGTGAATCACTGAAGTTGTTAAATTAGTAACATGGTTATTAAGTGAATTTGGTTTCTCCACTGTCTTTGTTGTCAAAAGGTTGCAAAAGGTGACCACATGACTCTGGGACATTGCAGCCGTCATAAATATGAACCAGCTGCCAAGCCGTCCAAATGTAAATCCCATGACCATGGGAATGCTTGCAACAGTCATAAGGATGAAAAATGGTCATAAGTCACTTTTTTCTCAGTACCGTTGTAACTTTGAACGGTCACTAAATGAACTGTTGTTAGTCAAGGATTACCAGTATTGTTATGAAACAAGCCATCCTTATTTCTCACTCCCAGGGTATCTCACCTTTGTGGTTTTAGTTGTCTTATCTCATTTAGAATCACATATCAGTTTAATACTATTATTAATAATGATTGATTAAACTTGTATCTGGTTAGAATTTACAATTGAGCCCAAGAATTCTGTGGTTAAATGAGACATGTGTTAAGTGAGTTTTGCCCTGTTTAACGACCTTTCTTGCCTCGGCTGTTAGGTGAATCACTTCAGTTGATAATAACCAGTTGTTAAGTGAATCTGGCTTCTCCATTGACTTTGCTTGGCAGAAGGGGATCCCATGACCCCGGGACACAGCAACGGTTGTAAGTATGAACCAGTTGCCAGGCATCCAAATTTTGATCACATGATCATAGGGATGCTACAAAGATTGTAAATGGTGAAAAATGGTCATGTCCCCTTTTTCAGTGCCACTGTAACCTTAAACGGTCACTAAATGAACTGTTGAAAGTTGAGGACTATCTGTAACAGGTAGTGAAATGTTAGTGAAATGTTTTATTTCAAATATGTGTTTGATGCATGTGTATGGTAATTATAAAATTTGCAAATGGTAGCCTTGGGAAGGAAACTGTTTTTGTATATAAAAGGAGCAAAATTGCTTCTTCTAAAGTGATGCCTTCTATGTCAGTGTGTGAATCATAGAAGCAAATTTGACTGTATAAATAATGTTTTCGGTCATGGGTAAACATAATTAATGAAATGCGGCAATATGATTATTTAAAACTCCATTAATTGATCAACACATTTTTCTAGGAGCTGAATTTCTAACAGTGAACTTTAACATGGCGTGCTATGGTTTAATGCTAATGTTTTTATCTTTATTTCTGCTTCAAGTTCCTAGTGAATTTGCTCGTGTTTTTAAATTTTTATTAGGAACAATATCCCTGATTCTTTTTCTTGTTTCTTTCCCCCATCTTTAGGCTGCTTCTGGTTTCCAGAGAATCCTGTCAACCTTGACACTAGCAATATTTCCAACTCTTTATTTTTTTACATTCCTTTATTATACTGACACGGGGTCCACGTTTTTTACCCTCTTTGCCTATTTAATGTGTCTCTATGGCAATCATAAAACCTCAGCATTCCTTGGATTTTGTGGGGTTATGTTTCGCCAGACGAATATTGTATGGACTGTCTTCTGTGGTGGAAGTATTGTTGCAGAAAAGCTAAGTGAAGGCTGGAAATTGGAATTACTGAAAAGCAAAGAGAAGAAAAACTTACCGGCACAAAACATCTTTTCAGAATCAATCAGGATTCTTAGATTTCTCCTTGGGTACTTTATGTCACTTAAAAACTTCAGCAGTCTGATTCTCTTGATATGGCCATATGTTACTCTGGTGGTGATATTTGCTATTTTCATTGTCCTCAATGGTGGCATCGTTCTTGGGGACAGGAGCAGCCATGAAGCCTGCCTGCACTTCCCTCAGCTATTTTATTTTTTTTCTTTTAGTCTTTTTTTTTCCTTCCCTCTTATAGTGACACCCGGTAAATTTATCAATTTTCTCCATTCTGTGAGGATCTATTTTCTGCGATACAGTATCCTTGCAATTGTTTCCTTATTCCTTGTCTGGAAATTTACTTACGCCCATAAGTATTTGCTTGCAGATAACAGACATTACACATTTTATGTGTGGAGAAAAATCTTTAAAAGACATGAGCTTGTCAAGTACATATTAGTTCCAGTTTATATATTTGCTGGCTGGAGTTTCACAGATGCACTGAAGTCAAAATCTGTTTTCTGGAACTTAGTATATTTTGTATGTCTGTTTGCCGTCACAGTTCCACAAAAGCTTCTAGAATTCCGTTATTTCATTTTGCCATATATTATATATAGACTTAATATTCCCTTGCCATCACTTTTGAAACTTTCCTTAGAGTTGATTATATATATTTTAGTGAATGCAATAACGTTCTATTTCTTTTTGAACAAACCGTTTCACTGGCCAAATAGTGAGGAAATCCAGAGGTTTATGTGGTAACATTTTGGTTCCTCAAACCTGTTCTAGAGCTTTTTGTTACAAATAAGATGTTACAATTTTAAAACTTCATCAAGAAAAACGAAGTATTCTGGATGCTTTTGTAATGGAAGAAATGTGAAATGTGTAGAGTTTTTGGACTGTTTTTATAAGGGCACCATCAGTAATTACTTCTTAAAAGATCAGGGAAATTTTACACATATTCCCAAAATAATGTGAATATATGGACATTTTGATCATACCAGTTATGCTATAGAAATCATAAACTGTTTTCATTGTATTTCTGTACATATGTAACAAGTGATTGGAAATAAGTTTGATTTAATGTCAGTCAATTATTGTCTTTTTACTATATTGGGTAATATTGTTTCATGCTTGCATACAGTGACATCTAATTTTTTTTATAATGTTTCGGGTCCAGGGATACACAATATTAGTGTATTGCAACTAATGTGTCTCAGATAAAGGCTGAAATCTTGAATTTTTTTTCTGGAAGGAAACTTTCAATCAATGGGGTTATGTAGAAATGGATAGGGGCACAGTTGTGAGCAAGGAGGAAATTGATTATGAGCTAGAGAACCATATTTAAATCATATCATGGGCAGATATTGTATAATATACTTGATTTTTTAATCACTGAAAGAACTAGATGCCACAGGTTGCTATACTGAGGATATGAATCAATTTGTAGTCTCAGCATAAATCGTAAGTCTTTACAGGGCCTGTTATTATTAACCAAATATACGTTCTCAATGATATAAGATGACAGTTCTGCTGACTGATTCAGTAATCAACATAATGTCAAGCTATGGCAGTTAAAAATAAATAAATAAAACCTAAGATTTTTTAATTCTAGTGATAAATGTGCATGCTATATGCCAAAACATAAAAACCAAATCAGTGTTCCTTATATTTAAGGGCCATAATACTTGGGGTGAAGCATGCTTAAGATGTGAAAACAAATATTTAGAACTATACCCAATAAGAACACTTAGCAATGAATGAGGTAAAAGAAATACAGTTTTTCATCACAAACCAAATATTAAGACAATTGTGTTGGCAATAAATGACAGAATTTGCTTTAGCTTTTTTGTCTATGTGAAATGTGTTCAAGAGTGCTCTTTCAGTTATAACAGATTCATCCCTTTTCATTAATATACGCTTAATTTTCCACAGCTCATGTAATAGAAAAATAATACAGGTTTTGAGGTGGAAAAGGATAGAACATCTATCAAATTAGAGCAAAGCAAATTAGAAAATTTTGCAAATTAGAAAATGTATCTTTAGGGAACCTTCATATGATTCTTAATTGGAAGTGTTGAAATGGTTATTGTGATTTAATTTCTCAAATGACGAAAAGGCTCCCACTGAAAATTGTTTGTACAGTATCTTAGCTTTTCCAAATTGTTCTTTTGATTTTAAAATAACCAATTTTAAAGTATATGTCAGTAGATTTGTCATTCTGTGCATCTTTAAAAATTGTACAAATAGCACTTGGCTTCAGTAGACCTTCTATGCGGAGAATAATCACAAATATCACACTTGCTCACAAAGTTAATAGAGAAATTTAAATTTCCTATGAAACATGAAGAACAAAAAGTTGACAATTTACTCTTCATTTAATTTTATATTTTTTGAAATGATTATTTTCTCTATTTTCTAATATTTTTTCCTTATGAGTATCATGGTTTTTTTTAGAATATTTAATTTATTAAAAAAATTAAAATTCAAAGCACCAGAATATTTTAAAAAACATTTAAAAAGTGTCTTAAAAAGATTAACACATATGCACATAACATCCTCCCTAGCTGAATGCTGATAAATATAATACAACCATGTTAATTTCCCACCCCTTACAAAACAGGACAAAATAATTTTAAACTACTAAATCTGTTTACAAATTGTTAGCCTGTCATCTACTATATCAGTAACAAAATAGTTAAAAGCAAAAACAATAGTAATATATAAAATGATAAGAGTTTATCAATAATAATGGGGAAAAATGACAAGATTAAAATTCCAAAACCCTTTGTTAACAAACTTGTTATAATCAACTCATAGAAAATTTACCACAGTTTCAATCCAAAACCATCCCCCCAAATTAAGCTTAATTGATTCCGGGTCAAATATCCATGTTTGTTTCTTAATGCCATCTCTTATAAATTGCTGATTGATTAAATACAATAAATCCAATCTCCAAAGCCAATCTATCTTCCCAAAAAAACCCAGATGCGACCATTCCCCAATTAAATGTACTAAGTTTCTCCATTTTCTTTCACGTCTGCCCTGGAAAAAAGTCACTTAGGACCATTTTTCACACTTATAACCGTTGCAGGATTCCCACGGTCCCATGGTCAAAGTTTAGATGCTTGGCAACTGACTCATATTTATGACGGTTGCAGTATGACAAAGACCTGACAAAGAAAGTCAATGGAGAAGTCAGATTCACTTAACAACTGGGTTACTAACTTAACAAGATCCACTGAACAGTTGCGGTCAGAAAAGTCGTAAAATGGGGCAAAATTTACATAACAACTAGCTCACTTAGCAACAGAAATTTTAGGCTCAGTTGAGGTCATAAGTCAAGGATTACATGCAGATATAGTTCCATTGAGGGCTACACAGTGGGTCGGTGACAATTTGCTGTGGCTAACTCACCACAGTCAACTTGCTGCAGCCAACTCGCTGTGGGACAAGAGTTACACTAACACCAAAGAAATTGTGGAATAGAATCATTAAAGAAAGGATGCAAAAGGAGGGACAGGATGGAATGTGAATGACAAAAATTAAAAAATATTTTTTTTATTTATTTGAAATAATTAAATAGAATTGTTGAATTGTCCCTGTGAGTTGTCCGGTAAAGCCGACCCTTTAGTTCAGGGCTGTCAAACTCTCAGCGCCACACACTGGCCACGCCCATGCCCAGTTTAGCGAAGGGGAATAAAGTCCTGATACATCACATGACGTTACTGTGATGACGTAAGTTTGACACCCCTGCTCTAGTTTCTTTATTTATCTTTTGTATGACAAAGTTGTTAGCTAGCCAAGTCACTCAGCAATTACTTTAGTTCATTCTTTCAATTACATTCCCTCATTCAGCAATCCATATCAGTTTGGCTCAGTCACTTTTTCTGAAAAAGAGGTGGTTCGTTCCCCACCCATCCACGCATGTTGCCTGGAGAATCGTGTTTCTCTCTTGGGTGTCATTCATTCAGAATTTGCATATTTTCCAAAATCCATCTTTGTGTTTTCCTCACTGTTGCTATTTACAGAGTAACACACCACTTTTCCCCGATGCATAGATTCCTCTATTCATTATGCGCTCCTAACAACATAGTTATCACACTTTCTGACACACATTGTAGCTTTTTCGTTGATTAATCCTGTGCCTTCTTTCCCTGCAAAATATTCATCAGCTCCATTTCTAATAATCGTTATTCACCTCAATTGTATCCTTCCCTCTTCCCTTAGTTTCACTGGAACACATATTTATTTCTTTTCCCTGTTTGCCATTTTACATTTCAGGTTGTGATTTTCCTTACCTCCAGGTGAATCTGCAGGCTAATTCCCCAGGAATAATTGCATTATTACTGCTATTGCTATTTTTATTTCTAATGGAAATTATATTCAATTATTGGAAAAAGGACTGGTATCAGAGCTGAATGTGATTTGGTAGGAATAACTGTTTTTTTTTAAAAAAATTGATATTTTATTTCTTCTAAAAAGAAATCCCAATTAAGCAGAATATTTATGAGTCAGAGCTGAAATGGGTGCTCACTGTTGATGTTACCTACTTTAGGTAATGAAATCTCTGCTGCAAGAAAAAAAACTAAACTCAGAGAGCACCCAAAAAGAAATCCATCCCTGGTTAGGTGAGAAATGAAATACTTGCTATCAGGGATGACCTACCCTTTTGGAGAACATGTTTAAAATCAGGCAAAGCATACAATGTAAAACAAAAATTATTCTATTAAAATCATTACTTGGAAGAGTTAGGAAAAATAAACACAGATAAGTTAGATTCACATGGTGGCGCTGTTGAGCTGTGCAGCTGAGCTGTACAACTTGCAGCATTTTTAACAGCTTTTGACTGAAATGTTTTTAGAATAGCAGCCTGCAAAATATAAAGGAAAATATTTTAATTAAAAATGGGGGGGGGGGTGGTCCTTGAAAACTGGAATTTTATATATAGTGGAACAATCCTCTTACTCTAGTAAAATGCATCTAGTTCTAATTGTAAAGCACACAATGCTGAAATAGATGGGTCTTTCTAAAATATTTATTCTCTAAAATTGCAATTAGTTGTACTTTTAAAAATAGATAATCCAAGGGTTTTTCACCATCAGTTCCTTTGTCATGCTAAATGTCACGTGTATTCAGATGGGGCACTTGGAGTCAAGAAAGTCTGGTCTCTAAAATAGATGTTTCTCTTTGTCATCCAGGGGTGTGTCTTCTGGTTATGGCCAACAAGACCAAGATGACAACTGCAAAAATGGAGCTTTGATCACATTGTTGGGGCTGTCATCTTGATTATCTTTTATATTTTCTGCGGAAACCCGTAGTGGTATCACTTTAACCTTTGAACCTGCATAAGGATCTCTCCTTCCGCTCCCTCTCTCCCTCCCTCCTCCTCTTCTTCTTTTCCTTCCTTCCTTCCTTCCCTCCTCCCTCCTTTCTTCCTTCTTCTTCTCTTTCTTTCTTTCTCTCTCTCTCTCTCTCTCTCTCTCTCTCCCTCTCTCTCTTATTTGGATAGCTTTGCCCTTCCACTGTATTACACTATTAAAAATGGCCTATCATAGTGCAGACCCATCATTTGCTATGTTGTTTATAAAACATCCCACAGATGTAAAAACCTAACCTAAACCCAGTGATTGGCATCATAATTAGCATACATAGCTCAGGAACACTGGCATTTAATTTGGCTTAATAAATGCTAAATTTCCTTCCTTTGGTAAATTTAAATTCCAGTTCAAAACATCTTGTGTGTCTACACTTGAACTGACATCAATACAACCAAAAATATATCATTGCAGCAACAAAAAAATAATGGCCAAGAAGATGGACGGATTCATACACTTACTTGTGATATATTCTTTTAATATCTTGGAATAATATTTTTCTCTTCCTCTGCCATGATCATTAGAAAGTTGTGATATACTTTCTCTAATTCCCCAGGTTTTCCCCAGATTAAAAAGGAGTGAATTAGTAATAACTGTACTTAACCACTGTAATATCTCTCTTGAATTGTTAAATGCACACTATTGTATGCCATCCAGGATCATATGTAAGATGGCAGTTATACAAATGTAATGAACAAATGAATTTGAATTGTCATCTTATGTATATACTTCCTCCTTCCAAGTGTATAGAATTGTGTGTAGAGCTGACATCTGCAAATATCTGCAGAAAAGACCTGAACACAGCCATGGAATTCAATAGGTAGCCATAAAATGTTACTTGGATTTTCTACGTTTTAAAAAAAATCTTTTGAAAGGAAAGCATTTAACCAAAGTGGTACATTATAGATAAACAATGAAATTGATTCATTATAGTACTTTGATTTCTTGCATTTTATCCCTCATGACAGAAACTTTATATTTATTGGAACTTTTCAGTGCAGAAGACAGAAATGTGCAATAAAACTGTTTTATTTTTTTACTAAAATAAGGGCTAAAGTGCCCAATATAATTACTTGCATAGAATAATCCATTTGCTGATGGTATAGAATTGTAAATAACTACAAGATTGGTGATGCCTGTCAGAAAAAGAAGTGAGCAGGTTAATTAATTGTCCCTGTTATAGAAATAACACTGAAGAGAAGTATAAATTGATCACTGTATTCATTCTGTGTTCACTTGCCAAATTATTCCTCCTGTTATTTAAAAGAATATAAAATGTCTGCCTGTTTATTTTCAAGATGCTTTTTAATTCTAATTTTCTTGTACCATGTGTTACTATTTTGTTAGTTGCATTCCTTTTCCCATTAAAATACTGGTGCATCCAGAATTTTGTCTTGTTTAAGTAAAATATTCCCTTTGCTTTGATGAGAGCATTTTTTATTTTTGCATGCTGCAGAATTGCCAAATGTTTTTTTTCACTATGTGATCACATATGGAATCAGGATTAATAATAGAATATTATTAACAGTATTTCACACTCCATTAGCACCACAACAGATTTTCTTTTTATTGATTAGGTGTCTTAATATTTCTACAAAATCACAATTCTCATGACTGGATTGTTTCGATATTAAATATAGTTGGTAAAATCTATGCAACACTTAACTGTATTGCCCACATATTCAGATATAGTTTTAATTAGTTGTATCTCTGTGAATGCAGCTTATTAGTATGATTTTACTCATAACTGGCTGAAAAGCTGCCCTTGAAAATAATTGGTTTTATTTCACCATATAATTTAAAATCTGGGAATCCCAAGAATAATCTCTGTAACTAACATTTCCTTCTTCAATAGAAGAAGAGGTGTTTGGTTTGCTGAATAGTTTTTCTTATTTCTTTTTTATTTCCAATTAATTTGCTCCAGAATATATTTAGGAAAAAAAATTGACAATCCATGACCCTTTGGGTC